AAAAACTTCCAACTCCCCTGCAAGCTAATTTTAGAGTCAAAGAAGTGAGTAAGCACTTGTGAGCAGGTCAAACAATGGCACCAGCAAACAGATGAGAGCGAATGTATTCTTTTCTATATAAAAACGTGTCTTCAGGCAGAAAAGTAGGGTGGAGGGGGCATTGAGGAAATTAGAGTGACTTAACTGTAGAAAAAGCCATGACTGCTTTTCAGTTCAGCAGTTTCTTTATAGAATAATAAATACATTTATTGTGCATGACTGAGAAATAGTTACAAAGGGCAACATTTTATGGTCGTTTTGATGTCTATTTTATAAATTTTACATTTTCAGTCACTGCCCTTTATCCCACCAATCTGTGCAAGCACCTCCTACCCCAGTCCAACAGCCATTCCTAATTTCTTCACTATGACTACGTAAATAGTAAGTTGCAAGCCCATAGGGACAACGATGATGTCTTCCTTACAAGCTATGCTAGTGAGCCCAAAGTCCATTTATTTTATCTCTGCGTGATCCTCCATGTCGTGAGTCTTCATGTAAGTGTGAAGCTTGTGTTACAAGATGTCGATCCTGAATGTTGGAGATCAGCTTTCTACCAACCACCCACCTGGTTTTTTGTTGAAGAATTTGTGAAGTCTGAAATGTTTGGTGTTATTTTGGTTTTTCCTTGGTTGTGGTGAAAATCTATAGTGAAATAGAATGGATTTGATTATATTGATACATTCTTTTTCTTTGAAATTCAAGGTTTAAAATGTGCAAACAGAAATAATTTTTTGAACAATAATTTTTTGCATTACGTTACCCTTTGATCATCTCTGACATTTCTTTTAAAACTTATTTTTCATTTTTTGTATTATTTCCAATAAATATTATTAGTGAAATTTTTGGAATCTTTTGATGAATTTTGTTCTTGCTTCATTATCATATAACTTTAACTGAATTTTTTCCCCATGCCCAGTTTTGTATAACCCTGGTATGTGAAACTTGATTGGTGCATTTTGCACACTATTTGAATTTTAAACGACTTAATATGAAACTTCGTTTTTGCTTCTGATTCAAGATTTGAATTTTAAACAACTTAGAACATTGTTGAAATTGTTGAGAATTGTTAAGACAGTGTCCCGTTTCACAGGATATCGAGACGATGTCTGTGAAATACAAGACATAAAATGCTAGTGTGAAAAACTTCAACTGAATTTTGAAGTATAATTTGGTTAAATCATGTATACACTGTATGTCGTGGAGAGAACTATCTCGTTTCTTCTCAAAAGCAACATTTGGCTTTATTTGATGCATAGATTGAAGTAGATAAGACTTTTAAGCCTTCGTTTTTGTCAAAAATCAGAATGTGACCTTAGGAAATTGATTTATGGTGCATTTTTAGAAATTGACCTTTTTGGTTTGGGTGTGGACTTAGTATATACATGTAGTTTCCCCTAGGTTGATCCTCCTGTTCCTGTTCTACAGTCACCAGTGTGAGCAGAATGTTTAAGTGGAAGGACATGAATCAGGTGGATAAGATTTGTGTGTGTGAAACAGTCTATCAGAATGGGAACTGTCACATTACTAGTAACACATACTGATAGGCTGCTGGAACCAAGCTGTTTCGTGGAAAGGTTTTAATTTGTCAAGCTGAAGTGGGGCTAGAAAAAAAAGAACTTTGCATGTGTCACTTTGGCAGGAGGTGAAACATTAGGAGATACTAACCAGATAGATTTAATTTTCTTTTAACTTTTAAAGTACTCACTGCCTTGGATGAAACGCTTAATCCTGAATTAAAAACATGCCATGCATGCATAAAGGTGTGCCTTTTCAGCCAAGATGATAAACCTAATTCTGTATCTAACTAATGTTTTATTCTTTTTTTGAGATATAAGTTTGAGATCACTGAACCAAGTTGGGCAAGGTTAGAACATTTGATGTCAGCTGCTGGAATTAAAAATCAGTTTTTTTTTAAATGCAATCGTATGAAAGCAGTGGTATATCAGAAGAAAACGATTGGTAAACTAATGGACTACACCTGACATCTACTCCTTAGCCCAGATTATGGGGTGGTGTTGATTTCTGATTCTTTTCACGCCATTTTTGTGTGACGGGGTGGGTGGTTTTGCAGAGGTAGAAGATATTTTAAGTGGATCTTTTTCAGTTCAAGTGAGGTAGAATGATCAGCAAACGTGTTCTGATTTGCTGGGCAGATATCCCATGGTCTTCTGTTATCCACTACTTAGTAACCACATCCACTTTCTTTCCTAGTCATCAATAACACCCTGGTGGATTGAAAGAATATGATGTTCCCCTCGAAAAAAAAAACTTGGCACAGTATCTTGAGTTTATCTGTTTGTAAGGAGTATTTTTTATCACCTTCTGTAATTACTTTGGTTTAATATTTCAAGTTTAAAAGATATAATCTGTTTTGAATGATGATCGTAATATTGTTTTGCAGAATGATTGATAGCTCTCGTGGATTATATATCATTGATGACTGATTTAATTCCTATCTTTAATTGAGGTCTCAACAGCTTAATAGCCTCTCTTGGAAAACTTATCTCTGATATTACCAAAAACATCTTTTTCTCCCACACTCTCTCTCTCTCTCTCTCTCTCTCTCTCTCTCTCTCTCTCTCTCTCTTATTCTCATGTGAAACAAGAATCTAGTTGCCTTTATAATCTCTTCATTTGATCAGTTCCAGGAAATGAAATGGTTGTACTGTCTCACTGTGGATTGCCCTGTTATTATTTGGCTGGAGTGTCCCTTACCAAAGACCTCTGCCAATACATTGTACAGGATCTCCCTCCTGCTAATAAATAATGGAGCTGTGTGCCGTTCTGTTTTAATGAATACAAAACCCTTGCTGTATTAATTCCCAAGAAAGAAAGGGGTGTTGTGGAGTAAGGTAACTCAAAATGAAAAAGTAACTTTTAGATAAGAGTAAAGGAGCTTAGATTTAAGACATTTAAGTGCCCAGACATCTTCTGTTACAAGTAACTTATGCGTGATGCCTGTACTTGATTTTCAGTGAATTATCCTTTTTCCCCCTCAAAATCCTCTCCCTTATTCTCTAATGAGTATAGCCTAAATATAACAACGTTTCTTTCTTGTTTTACTGTCAAGTTGCAGTTTCATTACATGAAGCATTAACAGAAAGTTTGCATGAGGACACAGTGCATTGGCATACATGGTTGTCTGCTGTTTTTGTTCAGAGTAGTACATGTGTGTGGCACATTGCCATTTACAACAATACTCAGTTCAATTGACATTCAGTATAATGAAATAAAAGAAGTAAGAAGAGAAAAAAAAGAGAAAAAAGGAACTATTAACTTATATGTTAAGGGCCTATACACATTTTTGCTTTTTTCCTATCTTTAATTGGGGTAGTTTTGTGCCAATTTGCTAACCACTTGCTCTTTTGATATCACATTACTGAAGTGACATTATGGAACTAGATGGTAATGATTGCCTGAAGTTAATTTATAAAATGCCTGACCACCCTGTCAATTTATTTCTCTTTTTCTACTTCAATTATACTACAAAGCCTTTAACTTTTAATCATCCCGCTTTAATTGACCAGTTTTATCTGCCTGATTTGTGGACCAGTAGCTGCCAGGTTTTACAGCTTTTATATCACATAATAAAATATATGTGGTAATTCAGAAAAAAAAGGGGAGAAGGGACATAATCTGGCACCATAAAGATAATGACTTTTTTCTTTTGTTTACTACTGATTTGTGTTTCAACTTTAAAACTCTCATTGTCATGGTACAGTGCATAACATTAATTGGCTGAATATCTCCTAAATCACAAGAGATTGAGTTGTAGGTACTATAACATCTGAATAAAAAGTGTTTTGAAAAAATTAAAATTTATATATTGAATTGTGACCCTGAGGTTTACTATTTTATAAAATGTCAACATTTGGCTTTGATTGTGCACTAGTTAGCTTCCTATCACTATGGTCTTTTTCCAATAAATATACAGTTTTGGGCTGGTGGTATATTCCCAGTGATGTGACCAATTCCTCTCTTAATCTGTACTTCTTGTATTTAGAAAGAATCTGGATCTTTAAATTGACTTGTGTGATCTTCGATTCCTATTAGATGATCAAACATGCGGAATGTTTCATGCTGAGCATTTCATTTGCGATTGTTTAAGTTGTCACCCAAGACAGTAACAGGTCTCATTGGAATCCAATGTTGTCAGGGACTATAGACATTTAAGTGATGATTATTTAAAGAGTACTTCAAAAGGTTTTGGCCTTTTAATTAATTCTTTAGTGTTTAAAAGCAGGAATGATCATCTTCCTAAACTTGCTTTCCCCTGATTAAAATATAGAATGAAATGACATATCTGGTGTCTTTCAAAATAGCAACGTGGCGAACAATGGATTAAAATCGGATGTTGCTTGATTTGAAAAAGGAGACATTTGTCTGGCCCATTGATTTTCACTAAAAGGTTTGCAACTTTAAGTCCATCAAATCACCATTCCCTTCACTGATCATTTCACTATCAGAATTTGTGAGAGGCCCCACCAGGAGACAGAATAGACATAGGAAAAATACACAATTGTAATGGCCTTAATACTTCAGTTACAACTTTAGATTTATTTTATAGGCTTTTTATTTAATCTAATTATTGTAAAGTCTTTTCTTGGCATTTAAAAAGAAAGCTTGGATTCATCGTGTGTGTTTGTGTTTGAGATTATGTTTAGTTACTGCTCATTGAAGATGTTAGTAAAAGAATTGAAACATTTCGTTTGAAAAGATCCGGCTGCAAGATGAAAATGTTTACCCTTGCTTTTTTACATGTGATAGATGTAACAGAATACCAACTTGATTGTGAAGAGCAGGCCTAGTAGAGCAAGAATAGGATGGAAGGAGGGAGAAAAGAAAGAGAGAGATTGATTAGTTACATCATTATATAACCAAAATGAATTCATGCTCACTGTCACATTTCATGCATGACCTATTCATTAAAACATGTTTTTCATATTGCTTACACTACTCACTTGTTAGTTGCTCTGGAATCTTCAGGGTTTTTGAAGTATCAACACGTCTGGTAGCTATTAGTTTGTCCCTTCTGAAATCTTCTCTAAGAAAGTGCTCTTTCACACCAGCTTATATTTTCCTATTAAATGCCCAAACTAAACAGAAAACCTTTGCCATCACCAGTGAGAGAGAGGAGACTGCTGATTGGAGCCTACTCTTTGAATTTGCATGTTAATATGGTTCATAAGGATATAAAGAATTTTGAATTTGAAAAGAAAATTTGTTGTTATATATCTGTGTTAATCCATGAAAGTGTTGTTGCTATTTGGATATTTTGCGGTGTATGAGGTAATTGCCATGGCAGTGTTTTCTTACAAGTGTTTTCTTACAATAATGTGCCTCAGATGTCAAAAGGTATAATAGGTATATGTCACACGGGGTGCTCTTCACTCTGGTATCTTTTTTATCAGGTTAGAATTAATTACATGGTATGTCTGGATGCCATGTAACTTTCAATCATTCAGGCAATTATCTTACACTCTCTCACTCGAGCTTAGATGCAGCTTTCTTATAGTTTGCTAAAATTGGTGAAACTGGTGTCAGAATGCAGTAGAGAACTTGAGGGTGGAAAACATTTTAAATACATTCCCATTAACTGTACTGGGGGAGCTAGGACATGCTGTTATCTGATGGCAATATATAGAAGATATTTAGTTCAAAGAGTAACATTTTAATGAACTTTGCAAATACCTACACAGCACAATTTGAAATATCAAATTTTTTATTCAAAAATCAAAGTAATGTTTTTTGTTTGTTTTTGGTAAGGATATTTTGTTACAGATTATGCCATTTATTTGATATAAGTACACAGGTCAACATTGAAGTAATGTAATATTTATATTAAGATTTATTAATACTGTGACAGTTGTTACCCTGTCAAAAACAGCTGGCATAAGGATATTGTGTTACTATTTTTTTCATAATGAACTGAGCAAAGTGTACATTTTTTCCTTTTTCATTTACCATAATGTAGAATTAGCAATTGGTATTGTTAATGTATCAACAGCTGCACATCATGAGCAGGACATGGTAATCATATTAGTTATGAGTGTGTTATGGGTGTCTCACTTCAAATTACATGGTCAGACAACAGTCTCAAGTCTCGATTTAGCTACAGGAGGCTCAGTAAATAACCTTTATAAACTCTCTTTTTCCTTCTTCTTCTTATTATGTAAAATTTGCCCTGTAAGAGGAGAAACTAGAGAAATTTAAGGTGTATCTGAAGATATATACTGATTGACTCAGAAATCTAATCTATGTCCCTCTGTCTACAGTGGTAGAAAGGTTTTTAATATTTTTTTCTTTTCTTTCTTTCTTTCTTTCTTTTTTTTTTTTTTTTCATTTCTTCTATATTTAAGACAAATAACAGTATATTAAAATCACCTAGTCAGGTTACAATAGACAAAATGAAGATAAGACATTTGTGAAGAATATGAATAAAAAAATTTAGATTTATTCCTTACCAGGATGACATTGGACACGTTTAAACTGAGTAAATTGCACTAAATTCACTAGGAAAGGCAGTCTGTTTAAAACGTGTAGGTAAGTGCATGGTTCTGTGTATGTGTGTACTGGTGTGTGTAGACACATATGTGAGTCAGATTACATGAGGTGTTGTGTTACATGTTATTTTATCACCTGTGCACATAAAATTAAGCTCCAAGGTTTTTCTCTATCTAATTCGGGTTGGTCACAATTATTTTATTAAAGAAGATGGTTTGAAAAAAGTTTTCATTTCAAAGTTGTATTCAGTGTTCATTGTGATATATTGCTTCCAGCAGAGAAGACATCATCTTTGTTTCTGTTTTTGTGACAAACATGCTGCAGGGTTTCTAGTAGGAGATGATTTAGGGGCACTTGACACTTTTTATGAAAAATTACTACAATCTCTTACACACTGTCTTAAAATCGTCTCCCCCTCCCTATTCAGTTGAACTGCAGAGCTATCCCATATGGGGAAATACACCCAAAAACCCCAGAGTTTTTCATTGTGTTTGATGTGGTTGTGTTGAGAATGAATCCTTGATTGTGTTTGGATGTGCCAACAAGGTGAGCACAGCAAACACAGAATCTCTGTGAAATATAAAATAAAACAATTCAGTAGCGGTTATGATAACATAATAGTTATATTTTTTAATGAAACACAATCACAAAGCTTTTACAAAATTGATAACAAAATAAAACTTGGGGACACACATCAGATAAAAAAGTAATTATGCCCATCAGATAGAACTTTCTCTTATAGTAGCAGCATATTGTTCTGCAATAAGCTTGATGAACAGTAAAAAAAGCTATTTACAAAAAAAAACAAAACATTACATTATGTTGATATTTAAAACCCTTGTATGGTTATCTGCTTTATATGATATATGTATATAGAACTTGTTTCTTAATAATAACTTAATATTGTTATATGCACAAAATAAAAGTATAGGCAGTTAGTTATTTGGCTTGCTTTCTGATTCTGGACTCAACATGGATTCACTCTGAATGTAACCATTTCCACTGAATTATAGTCAAGTTAAATTTCTTCAGTTGATTGAAATTCTGCCAGAATTTCAGATACTTCACATATTTATTATTGTTTATGCTTGATCTCTGTATTGAGATACTGTTTACATTTTTGCATTGATATTATTGTATAACATCTTTATATGATTAGTAATGAAAAATTGCAGCAGTGTTATTAGAGATTAGTAATATTTCTCATTTATATGTACTTTTTTCCAGAAAATGTCACATTCCCTTGTGATATTTCTTTGAAATTTCTCTATGATGTAACAAGTAAATAGTTGTTTGAGCAGATTACCCCAGTAAATTAAGACATTTTAGACAATCTGATCAAAAACCAGATCTAGTCTTTTTAAAATGACGAAATTGAAATTAATAGATTAAAATGGAAATAAAAAAGGAGCCAAGGCTTTTAGTTTGTCCCTTCTAATATTATCTCACAGACATAGTTAATCTTCAGTGAGTGGCAGTTCCAGTCATCCCAGCGATGTTCGCCATCTCCGGTGAAGTACATACAGTCCTGGTGCTGGTGGAATGAGTTGGGTTCCCCGGGGAGCCAGAAGGTGAAGGTCAGAGGTTTCCCAGTCCCCACCCAGGTCCAGGTCCCTTCATTGTGGAGATCATTGCCTCCAGACCAGAAGAAGGAGCTGCTCCATTTTTCTTGAAAAAAAATTTATATGAAGTCATTATATTTTTATGAAAGATTGACTATATTTATAAAATGCATTTAAAGTTGAAGATATGTGTAACAGGGTGTTTGATATAAGAAGAGATAATTGGTAATCTGCTCAGTTATTGTTAAATATAGTGTCCCTAGATACAGAGGTTTTGGTAACTAGAATAAATAGATACAAACAGTATTTATGACATCATTAATGGACTAATGCCAAGTCACAAAAGGAAACAGTAGTCAGAATATGTTGTCAGCATATGAAAGCACAGATGCAGCATTTCTGGAGATGTTATCTTTTAACCAAAGACAAATAGCATATCTTTTACTTAGCAATTTGTTAAAATCAGTTACATCTTCAATATAAAATTGATAACATCACACTAGTAAAATAAAATAAATAAAGAATAAATACACAAAAGAATATCTGCTTTACCAAACTCTCTGTTAATGCAAACAAATCTATTCATCTCTATTACCTGCATTGTATTTCCTGTATGCTATCAGGAAGTCATTTTCCTCCTTGGACTCCACTCCCACCAGGTGTGCCCTGGGGTCCAGGCTCTGGCATGTCTCCTCAGCCTTCAGCCATGTCACTGTGGTGTTCCCAAACCTGTAGCAGGAGCGGGCGTAGCGCAAGAAACCCTCGGGACATGCAGCTAGAAATAGTGACCGGAGGTTAGGTTTTGCTGTGTTCAGAGATAAAAAAAACTTTCATTTATAGAAGTGGATGTTTTACAATGGCATGATACAAAGGATAGTTAAAATAAATGATTAAAATAAATGAAAATTCAGATTTTATTGATCAATAGAACTTGTGAGGGCTGTTTTACAGCTTTGGCATATTTTCAATATATGCGAGTTTTAGTACTCAATTATCCAAGTTTTAATTCAATTCAGCCAAAAATCCCAGTATAACGCTTTGAAAACTGAGGTAAATGCCAAGGGAAAGAACATGAAAGACCAATTTTATGTTTATAATGAGCAGGTTCCACAGCTAAATATTTTGAAGGAGTTGCTGCTTGTTTGGCCTTTGGTAACCTGTTCATTTGATTGTGGATGTTTTCAAAACACATCAACTCTGTAGAGCTGCAGTGATTATTTTGGAAAGTAAATTCCATTTTTGCCACTTTTTTGCATGAGAGATAGACATTTCTGAAATAGAATTGCTTATTTCTGTGCTCTCTCTCTCTCTCTTCTGTGTATCTATCTGTTCAACTGACCAGGTGTCACACCATGCCAGTGTCCTCCAATGAAAAAAGTTCTGTAGTTCTTAATTGTGTCACTGGGTTTCTGATTCTCATTTTTCAACGCAATGATCATCCTACCTTAAGCTTTCTTTATAGAAATGAAATGAGGATGAGTTGATCAAACAGGTATTAACTTCAATGGGTTTCTTTTTTAACTCAACTCCCAATGGTGTTTACCTTTTTTAATGGCACACAGGCAGATTTAATGAGAGTTTGGCATTTAAGATGCCTATCACTATGGGCCAGTGATGGAGCTAATGTATTTTGAGAAGTTGTCTGGAAAGCCTATGATAAATACTAGTGCTTATTTTGTGGTCAGTTGATTAATACTTCTAGTAGGTAGGAGAAAATTTGATATTTTAAACAATTACAGCAGCTTCTTTGCTTCTTTTCCTTTGAAACAGTTACCTTCTTTTGTTGCCTTTTAAACTTTTTCAACTTGTCATTTGTTGAATAATACCCCTAAATGGGTTGGAAAAGAATTGTGAATTATCCTTTATGCATTTAACAAGCTTGTACTCATTTTATCTATGGGAGAAAATACTGCTCCAAGACTTGCTAATTTGGATTCATATTGCATTAATGTTTGTAAGATAAATGGAAAACACTGATAAATCAATCCCCCCTGCTGTCTTTCTGAATGAGATGTGTCACAAAGAACTTTTAAAAGATGACTGGACAAAAAGATTTGAAAACTGCAAGAAAGAAAGAAAAAAGTAGAGAATTTGTAAATATGTTGTATCTTCGATTGAGCTTCTAGTGTACATTAACATTATGCTTGAAAATGTAAAATAGACATGCAGATAGAAGTATAACACACCATATCTCCCAGTAAAAGGATGTGATGTGATATCCAGCAGTTAAAAGTCAAGTATTAGCTGAGGTTGGTGACAGTCTGGACAATTAGCCTTAGGACAGAGAGATAGGGGAGTTTCGAAATACTATCTGTAATGAAAACCCTGTGTCCATTTCTTTCTAATTTGTTTCTTTTCTTAACTTTTCTATGGGGGATTTGAAGGTGAAGGGAGGACAATGCCAGAAGGAGTCAGCTTGCATACCAGGGTGTTTTTCATGGTGTCAGTCATCAGTGATTTGCAGTAATACTTGGCATATCCTTATCAGGAAAATTTATCTACAAAGTAGCTGTAAATATGCTGTTCTGTATTTAAAAAGATTTTTTTTTTAATTTCAAAATCTAATTTTGTGAGGTTTTTATGGACCACTTATTCAAAAAAAAAAAAAAAAAAGACATAGGCAAAGCAGTGGAGAAAATTGCGTGCAGACATTGTTGTTATCCCAAAATGCATGTTAAGGTGAAAAATTGAACCTTATTTTTTATGGTTAGACTCCTGCCATTTTGAGTGTGACTGGGAAAAAAATGCTGTTAGTTGAAACTAAACCTATGAAACTTGGGTGTCAAGACATCAAGAACTACAATCTGCAGCCCAGCAGTGTTGAGGCAATGAACAAGAACCAAGGAGGTGTTTGATTGACGCTCTGTGTCACAGGGCAAAAAAGGCATTGCTGGCTGAAGACACACCACCAGGCAGCGCGTGACTAAAATAAGCAAGTCTTAGCCTGAAAGAAGTCTTTCCCTCACCCATCATTGTATGGTTAATGTATAACCTTCAGTCGCAAACTGGATTTCTAGACTAAATATGGACTTCTGTTGGCTTGGGTAAATGACTAATTTGCCCCCATGCACTGGGGAACTCTTACAGCAGACAATCTAAGCACACAAGAGTTCCTCAGTTGTATACACTCGTGGTGTTAGAGGGAAATGATTTGAGGGGCAATGTTGAATAATGATGGTGAAAAAGATCAAAGGATGGGGTTTTTGAAACAGAAAAAAGGAGTAAATAAAATGTTTTTTCTCCTTACTTCGAGAATTGTATTTTTTTTGTTTGTTTGTTTGTTTGTTTGTTTGTTTGTTGGTTTTGTTTTTTTTTAAATACAAGTACACATTTGTAGTTATTAAAGTTGATTTGCTTGTATTTGCTCTTAATGTATTTTAGATGGTAATTGTATTTTCTCTTGCACAGAATTTGCAACTGTCACATTTATTGATAGGGAAGCAATAAAAAAGATAACATGATGAAAAGTGTTCTAAGACCCCTGACCCTGGCGTTTAGCACACATGGTATAAAGTTTTCATGATGCTAATAAGGACCATTTGTCAAAACTGGTTCAATAGCCTGCTCTATGTCTGGGGCTGTCCCAGGTATAGCACATCAAATATACCATCAAGTAGTTGCCCAATTAACTTGTCTTTACTTTACTACACCAGAAATAATTTATTTTCTAAGTGATGGAATGTGTGCCTTGCTGATACCTTAATAAATAATGTGTATATTTCCATCCTCTTTTTCACATTCATCTTTGTTTGAATGTTTCTTTTGATCATATACATGATCAAGTGAGAAAGACTTGGAACTTTAAATATTATTGAATCATGTTACAGTATTTAGTCAATATACCATCAGATTTCAAAACCAAATATAAGTGTGTGAAGATTGAAACTTTAGACTCTTTGTGTTGACTTTAGAACAAAGTGCTTACCAAGGAGGAAAGAACAAACTCTCAGATTTTTAAACTCATTATTTTTTCACCTCCCTGTGAATCACCGTGTCAACTTAAAATAGTGTATAAAGCACATGTGAAAATTACCTCTGTGCACAATGTAGTGATTTAGTTGACAAAACTGTAGTCTGAAGCAGTAAGAAACGGTAAAATAATTGGCCAGAAACTTGGATTTTAACCCATTTCTTTTAAAATCTTATAGACACAAGAAAGTCAGCTCAATTATGTGTGGCATATGTTGTCATTGTGACATTGGTAATAAAGTAGCTGTGATATTATCTTATAAATTTTGTTTGAAAAATAACAGCTTAAGACACTAAGGCTGTATTATATCAATGAACATATTGTTGCTCTATGGCTACATTACTGCCAGATATTGTTCAGTTTACGTATAACCTCCAGTGGGATTGATCTACTGGTAGAATGCTCACTTCTGGAAGGGAGAGACCTTTATGAAAATTGTACTGGCTGTCCCCTCGTTAAACAATTAAGTGCACAAAAGATGAAGCAGGGATTAAAGACCTGGTCTTGATGGTGTTGGAAGTTTTGAATGATAAGTCTAACAGTCAGGATTGCCATAAGGTAGGTCCCCCCCCCCNTTTACATAATCAGAATGCGCGAAAGTTCAGGATAATGTGTTCCATTTTTTGTATCGTTAAGTGCTTTATTTGCGAGGTAAACATGTCGTACCCGTGCAAAGGCATTACACGCCGCACTGTAATGCATAGGCCAATGCCAGAGAGTTCAGGCAATGACGTCACGACTGGATAACTACCCCCAAAATTAGGCTTACGCTTACAGTGGGTAAAACGTGATGGGCAGATCTAGAGAGAAGAGGGGGGGTCGGATTTTATTGAATTTAGGTCCCCAGAGACTTGTATTCCCCTTTAACCTTTCTCTTGGAGATGTACTGACAACTCCATAAGTGCTCCCCCCCCCCAAAATAAACCTTAATTACCTTTGGAGAGTACATCTTTTAATACATAACTTTTTGAAGCACCAGTTTCTTCACAAACAAGCTGTAGAACCCTTGTGATGTAGTGCTAATTTTTTTCACCAGCAAAATTAAAGTAATAATGAAATAATGTAAGATTGTTTTATTATTAAAATGTAGTGATCTGAACTCCAGTTATACTTACAATCCCCACGAGAAATGGCTATGTCGTTGCCACGGTTTGCTGTGCTTTCCAGCCAATGGATTCTCTTCTCCATGTCCACTATAGTATCCTGTTGCTTTACCAGCTCCCTGGCTTTCTTATGATTCTCTTCTCTCATTTTTCTAATCTCGGCTTCCTTAGACCTAAACCTGTTCGCCTCTTGACGAGAAATCTCCTGAAGGTTGTCCATCTTTCTTTCCAAGACACGGTATTTATGTTCAGTACGACTGAGCATGGCGTGCGTCATGTTGCGACTGTGGTCAGTCATTTCGTGTACAATACGCATGATCTGGGAGGTATCTTGCCCACCGCGAACACTAGTTGGTGACTGGTCGTACAGGTAGCCACTGTCTGCCTGTGATCTCCCACCAATGTTCATCTTCCCACTGCGTAGCTGATCGACAATCTCTCTCAGCTGTTTCATCTCATTGGCCATTTTGTCCACTGTTTTCTGTAACTTGGCAGTCTTTTTCTTGTATCTCCGGTTATCGTTGTACAAATCCAACAGAAAATCTTGGACATTTAGCAGCATACTGCACTGGTCTCCCTGGAACCTCATCAGGGAGTTCAGCTGGTTAAGTTTTTCCTGGTGTCCCCTCTTTTTAGGCAGGGCCTCATTGTCAGCCCTGCTGTAGGACTGGGAGAGAGTTGTAGCAGGCAGGCAAATACATATGCTGATCAGTATTGTCAGGTATTCCATGGTCTCTGATTATTTTGGTGCTGGTTATTATATCACAGTAAAAGAGAATGAGGACTTATTTCTCAGTGTGCTGTATATGTTCTAGCTACTGTTCCTATATCCAGACTGCTGTGTAGCTACTGCTGCTTGACAATGTTGCTGTAAATCTTATCACCACTGAGTTGTGTATGTGTTACATGTCCTAGGTAGCTGTGATTAGGATGCCATAAAACATGGGACCCACACAATCATACGCATTTCTGTAGCGTGCTCTCTGGGTGGCTTGCTGCAAGAGAAGAATAATAATGTGAAATGAATTACCTGAAAAAATGTTTTAAAATAGAGACCACCACAAAACAATAAGACTGAAGTCTCAGAAATTTAGAAAGTGAACTCTTATGATTAACCTTATAATGTTACAGTTACAGATATGCTATATCTGGCTACACGTACAAGTACTGTCCCCTGTGGCACGTACACTACAAGGATAAAATACCTGATAACACTAGATGTGTACATTAGTATGCCTCTGTGCATATGGTAAAAGCTCTGGTGTCAGGTTGTGAAATACGTATAGGATGATGTACTTGGAATATAATGAACTTAAAAATATACCTTCATGGATGGCTGTTTATTAGTCTTTCCAACTACCACCTATAATATTGTTCATGAACATTAAATCTACTTTTGTTCTCCCCCCCCCCAAAAAAAAAAATATATTGATGATAATAATAATAATAGTGGATGGAAATGAAGGGACATCTGGTTGAAATCAGAATATACTGGATTATAAACACTTTCCTAGTAAGAACACGTGCTCGTGTGCATACATGTGCATTTATGTGTGAGCATGTAAAGGTGAAGCAACATTATATAAAGAGCCCACTCTTCTCAAAATGATCCCATGCTCTTCAGACAAATGATTAAAAAAAACTACCTATAACAACTTGGTTAGAAAGTTATTAAGTTCAGTCCTCTAGGAACATGATCATCTCTGATTTTCACAACCCAGTGAAAGCAGTATTTACATTGAACGAAGCAATTACAACAATGTCACCTCTGTATCAGTATTTCAATATTCTCAGCTAGCTGAGCAGACAACTAAAGGCCCCACAGTTATCCAGGTGAGACCGTCGTCGTCCCAAATAATTGAAGAACCCTGTGACACATACTTCATCACCTGACACTCCTGCCAGTACAGTAGTGAAATCTCAAAAGAAGAATGAACCTTTAAAAGTTGATCACGTACTTGGTGATACCTTCCTTGCAGTCCTTTAGATGCTACTTTGTTCTCAATGCTGATTTTGAAAAATGCCTCTTAACAACGGTGTTTTGTCACTGTAAAGATGGTATTTTTTTTTTTTCAGGAAGAAAAATTTGATTAATTTCACCTGTAGACAAACTGACTGGTGTGATGTAATATTTTTAAGTGTCTCAGCTTAGACAGAAGCACTTAATGTCAAAGGTTTTCTTCATTCCCAGGCTGTTAAAGGTGTGTTACAGTGGATACTATATATTTTCCTGTGATATAATTACCAAATGGTTTCTTGATTTTCACAACAATGTCTGTTAAATAGTCCCATATGGTGTCATTTGCCAGAAGTTCACTGTTTATCTTGTCTCGTTTTACTTTGTTGTGGAAATTTACCAGGGTTACCACTGCATCGTTTTTTATAGCATGAGTTATCCACAAAGTCCCTGTATATGTATCTAGTCTAAATATTTTTTTTCTCTTACTCACCTTCAGTAACTGGACTGGTTTGAAGTCAAAACATTGAAATGAAATGATTTTTTTTTCTTTTTTGCCCTGTGTGGCACTTTTTTCATTTTCTAGTTCAAATAAGCTCCTTCAAAACTGACCAGCAGTTAAAATTACTAAAAAGGTTGAAGCTGGTTTGTGGCTCACACATGAAGTTTTTGGTTCACACCCACAACTTGATTTAAAATTGTCAGGAGGATCAAAGACATTCATCATTGGTAATTATTGTTTTAAATAATTTAAACCCCAAGCATGCTTAACATTCTTGGTATATGATTAAATCCGGGCATTAATTGAAATAATGAAAAACATTATCTTAGAAATGATAAAGGACCTAGTGAAGAAAACATCAAGGAAGATCTTGACGGAAGAATTAAACAATTCATAGGCCTTCTACTGATCAGTAGGAATAACAGCCTTCTAAAGTGTAATGAGACTTCATAAAAGGAGACACTTAACACTAACATTTCCTGAAACACTTAAGATTAGGTGAAAAATTAGAGGAAGAACCCCTGACAAAATGAAATAATTACTCAGCAGTGAAATTTTTCTGTTTAGAAGTTCCTCCCTTTTTGCATTCTTCACCCCTCATTTCCTATGACAATGAGACACACCTATCATTTTCAGTAATATCCACACCGAAACACAAATAAGCTGAAGTTTTGGCCCTCAAAAAGCTTACCGTTTTCAAGTGTCCTCTTAAGAAAAAAGGCTCTCTTTGTTGCTGGTCCTTGTTGTTTGCACAATGTATTTTACTTGAAAGTACATGTAGTTATTCCCATTCAGTGATAGGAATAGTGTAAGCTGTAGCCAGCAACTCAAATGCTACCCCAACAGATCCTGTATAATGTATAATGTATATATATGTGTGTGCACCTGGGAACTCACTGTGACGAGCACATACGGTAACTCCAAGCTGAAATTGATCATAAGATGCTCTAGCCAGACAGAAGTGAGCTCCGTGAACACACCTTTCTATTCTCCGCCTACATACTTGCTATAAAGTCCATGGCATTTGCATCTGTTTTAAAATGAATTCGGTGCTGATTTTAATCTTGGCATTCCGGCCTTGAAGACCCAAGTCGAGATGTCAAGTGTTTAAACAGTGTGCTCTGTGTGTGCAAGGTGACATTGTAGAATTCAATCAGTTATATGTCTAAAAGGTGATCTCACCAAGGAACTTTGCTTTCATTTTACAGTGAGTTGAACTTGAAGATCTTAGGCTAACTCCAGTGTTTGTTACCAAAAAACAAACAATTTATTTGTATGATGTTATCATATTGCTTTTTATGCTGTTTCTCTGCCCTTTATGCCTCCCCTCATAGAATAAAATGGCAATTACACCTATGATTTTCTTCCAGATAACTACATTTTACAGTAGCTCCTGTAATTTGCATTACGTGGGATTATGTGATTTACTTCTTCAGGTAGTGTTAACCAGTTTCGGAATGCTTGATTTCCCCTGGCCATATGCTTTTTCCCCATGCTTATCTCTAGGGCCATATGTTAAAAAGTGTTTGATCATCATCTAGAGACTGTCAAAAATACATTTACAGATTTTAGTCATTCTGAGTTTTACTGCAGAAAACATTTAAAAAAATGCTACCTGTTATTTTAGTTGTTTGGTTTAAAAAAAATGTTGAAAATTAAAACCATCTTGACCATGTGCAACAAATTTGCTCTTTGAGTGACCATTGCAATTAAGTGTACTGAACCATTAGATGTTGTAGAGAAAGCTTTCCTGGCTCGGAACAAATGACTGCTGCATATGATGGAATTCAACCTTTTTTTTTCCCCCTTTGACAATGGGCTGTGGCACCTGCATGAAAAATAAGGTGTTAAATAAAGCATAGACTAAATAACCTTTGGTTCACATAAAGAGTGAAAAAGCGAGTTTCAAATAGAATAAAAACGTAAAAAGAGAGAATGAAAAGAAAATATTACCATGATTAAGTAGCTTCATGCTTATAAATGTATACAAGAGGGAAAAAAAAGAGAGCACAGGTAATAAGAAATTACACAGTGGATTGGTAGAGAACACATTACAGCATCCTCCCAGTATTGATGGCCCCATTTCCTGCAGAGACTAATTTGTAAACCTAAGCACAAGATTTGTGTACATTCAGCACTGGGAATGGCTGCAGCATAACAGCACATAACTCAGACTTTATTGTACAGCATGTACTTGCTACCTTTAGTATCAAAGATATATTACATAGTTTTCCTAAAGATGAACTGGGTGCTTGTATTGCGATGTGAAAAGTCACCCCAGGCAAGAAATAGAATACCTATTACAAATAGTTTGTTAATGAAAAGTAATTGGTAACTCTAAAATATGCTTATAATTAATTTCAAAGACAGTCATGAAATTGGAACATATCTTAACCAAGTTTAAATGATTACACAATATTTGTTCCAAGACGTCTACTAGAATTTTTTTCTTCCACTTGGTTTATGAGTTCATCTAAGAGGATGAAATATTTGTTTCACCTTCAAAGTTTTCTACTTCACTTCAACCTGCACACCCAAAGACAGCATGTAAATAGATATCTTTATTTTCTACTTTATTTGAAACTTGACCGGAACATAATACCTTGTATTACAGTTTGAAATAGGTGTCATTAGCGATGCATGAATATAGATATAGCAATTTCTCCATCTTTTTGTAAGCACTTGACTGAGAGAAAGTTGGATTCCTCCATGCAGACTCAGATGAAAACTGACGCAAGGGTCCAAATTTCAGACTTCCATTGCTTAATAAGATCAAGCCCTTTGAATTTTGATATTGGCAAATAAGTTGCTTTGACAATGATCTTTTTGACAGAAACTGTCAACAGACGAGTACTCTGTCCAAATTGAGGTAACATAGCTTGTGTCACTTCAGATCCTGATTTTAATGCCTTGATCAGTGTAATGTGTGATACACTTTGGCTTGTGCCAGAGGCTAAAACATGATCTGTCAAATGTTCTTTTCAGTTTAGTGCCAAATTTTATAAACAAGCTACCACAAATTAATTTTGCCAAGACTGCTCTAGTGGTTCCATTGTCCTCTAACACTGTAGAAAACTCGTGGTTTAAAGTAAATGGTGTTCTATATAAGTGCAATATGTCAAATAAATTCACCGATGTTAATCATATATGTGTATGAACATATCTTTTACCGGAGTTAAGGTATAGGGATTTTAAGTTTCATGTGGATACAGTTAATTTCTTATGGTTGTTTCCTTACTTGATATGTGATTGAATGATAACTGTGCTTATTAAGTTATTCATTTAAGTTATCCAGTCCCATGTAGTTGATTTGTTAAAATATCAGTCTTCAGAAAAAGTGGCAACAACGGTTACATGTTAGCACATAAATCTCTTCCTTTCTTGTCATTGTGATAGCAAAGGTCAATCATCAGCGTGAAAGAATTTTTAGCAGTGTCGTCAACAAGACTTTTTTGTCACCAAGTTCTTTTGGTGCAAACCTATTAAAGACCTTGGAGGCCAAAACAAGTCCTGAAATGTTATAAATTGATACCAATAAAAGATTATGTAATGATTTATTGATTTACTCATTTATTAACTAATGTACTGAATTGCCTATAACTTCAGTTCATTTGGCTTTTTATAGTTCAACTTGATATCTTTGAGGGCAATTCAGCAATGGATTTAAATAGGGAATTTATTCACAAAAAATTCCTTCTCCCTTCAGTTGAATTAAGTCATGTGAGATCATGTTACAGTTTTACCAGTAAAAACCTCTGTTGTGCAAGTGAGTTTTTTCTTAAATAAAACCTTTGATCCCTTATGTAACAAATCCAGGTATGTGAAATATAATATATTTATGGCATCTTTTAATAAGTTCATGTAACTGTCTGTCACAGTTCCATATTATAACCTCTGTGATCTAAACATCATACATCCCTGTGTGCCAGACGTCAGCTAAGCAGGAGGAGGACCTGACACTTCTGTCATTTCACAACGGATTGACTATGATAAATCACTCACAGAGTACTGAGGTCTTTGAATCTAATCTAGTTTTTGATAGCTAAACTCGTGTATAAAAACCATGGGTATTATTACTTTTTGCTCACCTGAAAATATTCCTTTTGAATGTTATGAATTTGTAGAAGCAAACTTGTCTATGATCACCACAAAGAACAGGTTTTCCTAATGTTTCACCCCTGTAAATTGTTAATTGAATCATCTTGTTTGATAGACATGGTGCCAAAAAAGAAGAAAAATCAAGATACAGAATATCAATGCAACTATCTAAAAACATACAGGGCATTCTTACCTTCTTTGCTAGTGAATGTCATTTTTCCAACAAACTTTGACTGCTGTGAACTTTTACATTACCATGTTTATATTTTGCGTACTATATTTTGTAAGAATTTTCCACTCTTTTAATAAACAACAGGGAGGGGTGCTTGAAATGCTCAAGTTGTATGTGTTCCCCTGTAAAAACATTGCTATATAAACATACATGAAAGTAAACTTAAACAAGTGTTAAATCCATTTCTTTATTCTTTTTGTTGGGTTGAAAAAGGACATTTTGCCATTGATGAAGTAACAAGACCAGGGTCTAGCTGAATGGGTCTAGAAATGTCTGCTCAGTTTTTTTTATACATTTACCTGTAATGATCACCAAATCACTTCAGTCTCCGCAGACATGCCTCTGTATATAGTTACAAAGTAATCTTTTTACCAGAAGTTTGTACAAAGCTACTTTCTGGGTAATCCTTTTAACAGTTCATGCTACAAATGGCAGAAGCATTCATTTTCCTCAAAATTGTTCCAGTATGTTGGTTTGAAGATGGAGAAGATTTTTTTTAAGTTAAAGGGTCAGGGGGTGAGTGTTTGGAAAGGTTAACATTATAAGCAGACGCCCTCCCTTTACATGTACAACTTCATCAGCTCATTGTAGGCACACTAGATTTAAGATAATTTTTTAAAGTTTATTGTACATTTATCTTTTCATGTAGACAGAGTATGTATCTTTATTGTTTGATTCTCTTTAATTGTAAAGAAATGTAATATGTATGCAGGGGATATCATGAAAAGTGGTAAAGAAAAGTTTGTTTAAAAAACACTTACTTTATTCGCCTTTTAGATTGTATACTGTTTTCATTCTGTAACTTGTTTCCCTGTGTGCGACTGCCCTAGGTCACAAAAATTTAAGTAGTCATGTCTTGTGTCAATTGCTTACAAAAAAAAAAGCCCGTCACTTAAAAAACATACCCCTTGGCTGCATGTGCACTGAGTGCAATATGGCAAAATACACCATAGGTTAGAAACCTACAGTTCCAGTTGACTGTTTAATTTTGTTTAGAAAATGTTTTTTGATTGCTGGGCTTTTGAAATGGGTCTAATTCAGAATATTATTTAGAAAGAACCCTACTGGGATAAAGATTGGCAGTTGGAGCTCAGGAATTGGGAGAATGGATTGGATTTAAAAAAAAAAAAAGAATATATAGATCAGAGCAAGCAATAGTAATGCCTTCAGTAATCGAGTAGATTGAAGCTCCATCAGTGACACTACAACAGTGTGTGATATATTGGGCTGTACCTATAATGATGAGTGGCAGTGGTTGGTCGAGTATTTGACCACATGATGCCGAAAAGTGACCACCACTTTTGTAGGTGTGTATTTGAGAACCGTCTACACATTACCTTGACTGCCTTTGAAAAGGGGAACTTACACAGAGGGGTGTCTGTCTCAGGCAGGACCTCTTGATTCCTGATTAGCCATGGTCAGTAAACTAAGTACTTCAGAGTCAAGTGACTGAAAGTAATTCTTTACAGATAATATTCATTCTAGGTTGGTCTTTTGATAAAGACTGCTGTGTAGAAGTCCCTGGTACCTCAAGGGTTTTGTTCCCCAAAATTAAAGATAATCCCATCAAGAATTTTTTTTTCACCACTACACTTTGAGAATGATATTTGGGATAAAAGGGAACTTCAGTTGTGTTGGTTTAAACTTTGGTGACATATTGCACTAGAAAGCTTTCTTCTAGACAAATTGTTCAAAATCAATATTGCAAAAGCTTTTGCATTTACTTTTATTTTGTTGACTCTTATTCATTTAAAGCTTTTACTGCATCCATTTTAAAGAAGGTATATAAACTGTTGATATTTGCTTAAATATCAAGCTCTCTCTCATGCTCATTACCAATGAATGCTTTAAAAGCAGTCGAGACATACTTATTATGAAAATGATATGCTAATGAAAAAATGTTTTTTTTTTACATTTGAATTTCTGGAGATATCAAATAATGTTCTTAGCATGACTTAGATATTGCTTGCTGATTATTTGCTTCATTGCCCATAACTTCAATTTGTGACTCATTTCTTTTTGGCAAGCTGCAAGAAACAAGGAGTTGTCAAAGTTTCACTCAAGGTCATAATCATAACTTTAGAGTCTAGTGAAAATGTTGAAGCACTATTGTAAAGTATAATACACCAAATATGAAATTATTCCAAACCTTTGCAGCATAGTCAACCAGGTGAGCCTTTGGCTGATTTGTCACCACTCTAACCCGATAGCTCGAGGCTGGTGACAATATCCAAATTAAATTGACACATATCAAAAGAAACAATAGCCAAATGACTAATGGTTTCAACAAACCACCCAGTTATTGCTGTTACCTTGACTACTGTATGTTCTGTTGATTGTCAGAAGTAATGAGGTTATTATATCAACCTACCTAGAAGATGGAAGTTATGAAGCCATCACTCCCGAAACAGCACAGTTCACAGCCATTCTGGTCCCCGGCTGAATGCAGTCACAACAATTTATAAAGTCTGGTGCAACTGAGCGTATTCAGTCAGGACGGCTGCCTTTTGTAGTGTTGTCTAAAGTTATGTGCTGTAGATGAAACCTTATGACTCCTGTATTGTCATTGCTTAACTGTCTCTGTTCCCATTAGTATGCAATACACACCCGGGGGTCACAACAGATTGAAATAATGGAGAGAAGTGAGATGGAGCAGGGACTTTTTATCAGAGGGGACTTACTGAATTGCCTTAGGAGAAAATCTGTTGAAAGCATTAGCAAGTTTTGGTTACCTAAAGGGCATAATTAAAGGAATTGTGTTTTCTCAAAACACTTTTTTTGTGTTGAAAATTGGTTCCTTTGATTTGTTTAGTTGACTGGCAGGATGTATGAATGAGAGAGTTTTGATGCCTTTGACTGATGTTCAGAATTTGGAGGAGGGAAAAAATCATGCGCTCACCAAGTCGGCACCATCATGGGAAATTTGGCCTGAGTTGAATTGGGCAACCAGGCCAAGTGCTTTGTGTCTTAAAAGGAATTTATTTTTACAAATACATGTAAATAGTTGGAAATACCCAAGGGACATTAGAGAATAGAAGACTCTTATTTCTGTATATTTTTGCTTATGCTATTTGGCTTGCAGGAGGTAAATAATTAAATGGATAAATCGAATTTGGCTTCTCACTAATGAAAAACAAATTAAATATTTCCGTATGTTGTGAAATAGATTGTATTGGATCAGATTTCTACAGGGACTTGTAATAATGTTTGAAAATGAAAATCTATGATAATATTTTGGCTTGTGCAACATCTGAAGGGGGGGGGAGAGAAAGGAAGAGAGAGAGAGTTAGAGAGGATCCCATTTCTTAACTAAACTGCAAAAAACTTATAAGAAAATGGGTTGTTCATAGATTGGCTTTAATTTTTATTATTTTATTTTACACTGCAACTTCCTTGTAAACTTATCTCCAGTTTCTCTATATAACTTTTTTTTACGTTCAATGATACCACCTTGGTTTCTCACCCTAGCACATCATACTGCAGATCATTGAAAAAGTGAAAAAAAAAAGATAGAACTGAAGCGGGTGTCAACTCCTTAGTCATTGACCACCTACAGACACCACTGCTCAATGTTGTCATCCATCCAGAACATGACTTTCCATGTGGTAGATGGCCTAGCAATACAGTATCATTTCAAATGAAATCAAATACTTTTACATGGTAAACTGACTCATTGAACTGGCCCCCATGTAATACCTGTACAAACAGGGGGATTAGGGATCCATTTTGAAAGTTGTGAAGGGAACAAAATTGAAGACATCTCTTTTTGGTTCAGTGGCTATGTTTCAAAAGTGTTTCATCTTGCAGTGGATTACAATATTAAAGATATTACCCTTATGGATATATAATATTATGTTTATTTCATCGGGATTTAAGGATATGCTGGTAGATTAAATGCCAAAATTTTCTTCCCAAATAGTATCTTAAAATGTAGTTGTTTGCTTGGTGTCATGTCCAATTTCATCACAAATGTTAATCTAGCTCTTACACTGTAATGAAAAAGTTCATTTTCTGATTAAATAACCTGGGCCAAATTTAAAATGCTGTAAAGATGTTTTTGTACTCTAAAGTGCCTTTGGGATAATAACATCAGATTTTCCAGTTGTTTAGCTATGGAAGCAGAGGCTGATTTTATGCTTAGGAAATACAAAGCTTTTTCTTTTTTATGTTCAGATAAATTTATTGCCGTAACCTTATCTGTTCAAACATGGCTAATAGCTTTTAGTGGTAAAGGTCAAAACCATCTTCTTTGTCAGCCTTAAACTTGAATGACCCTGCGCAGAAAAATAATACAGTTGTCAAAATGTTGCAAGTTTCTTCTTAGTTTGTTTGAGATACGAGAATTGGATTAGGTCCCCTCCAGCCCTAGGTAGCAGTCAGATCATATTTGCTTGTGGCAATTCTTTATTTGCATCCTGCCCAAGCTGGCCCCAGTGGTTTCCTTAGTTTATAAATGTCTGTGATTAATGAAAAAAGGGATAAATATTCAGTGATTTGATATGTCTGCTTACCTGTCACCTGTGATTTTGCATTAATTGTCTCAAAATGGTGATTATGGGGGGTGGTTTTATAATGTAAATATAAAACTGCAATATCAGTACTGGGTTATAAATTCAGGAGTTAAAATAATGACCTTTTAGAAGTAGGATAAAAAAGGATGAAAAATAGTTGTTTTATGGTGATTATTTATGAAGTGTTTTGAAAAATAAGGAACAATTCATGCCACATTGACCAAACTGACCACAATTTAATATGTCCTTGCCATGTAGACCAGGTGTCCACAGTTATAGTCTTGGGAACTGGCAAAAAAGCACACTTGTTTTACTGACATATTAAAACTCACATTTAACTTGCAAAAAAATGAGATAATAAATAATGCATCGATACTCAATTTAGGGTTCCTTTACAAAAGTAAAAGGTAGTTTATTAACAAGATTTTTTTCTGTTTATACTGTAGATGTAAAGAAAGAAAGAATATTTTTATTCATGGCAATATCACATACAGCTTTTGAATTAATATATATTATTCTGCCGATCACTCAATACTCATCCAACTATTGTTTCTTTTGATATGTGTCAATTTAATACACATACTGCTGTTTTGAACATATTTAGTTTTCATCATGTGACAGTTTCACCCAGGGATACGGGCATGAATGCAAGAATGTGTCTAGCGACCAGTTTATCCTTGAGGTGTACATGATGGCAAATTGCCAGTTTTTCACAACTAGAAAGTACCAGACATTCCTATCGATTCAGTCAAATTAAATTGCAGTTATCTGCAGGTAAACAGAGCATAAAGTATGTTGCTAAGGTAAAGAAACTGGTATTTATGGATGCAGAAAAAGAGGAAAATTTGTAAGCATACACAATACTTCCCTGGTCAGATAGTCCTATATATTAGAAGTTTGATGGCACATGAGTGCTTCACTATATTTAAGTGCATGATGGTTTCATTTAAATTTAAATTCTCCATGTTTAATTGTTTTTATATCCAGTTGTCGACATAAACCTGATGTAAGTGCTACTGTGCTGCATTTATTACTTTAAAGTACTAGTTTATCAGTCTACCAACCCATTCCACTAACCCACCCGCCCCTCCCCCTCTTTCTTCACTGATGGTCAGCAGTTTTTTAAAATGAAGTTAAGAAATAATAAAGTGCAATTTGAAGAATGTTCAAAAGAATCCAGGTTGATAACAATTGAAATGCAGGATCTGTCTGATACTGAGGCCAGGGGCAGGAAAGTTCACTGTGATCAACTCCTAATAGATGCAGGCAAACACTGAAATTAATGTCCATCTTTATAAAAGATCCAGACACTACTTCATGTCACCTTCAAATGAATGGCAAGAGAAAAGTACCCTAGCTGCATCCACTTAGTGTCACATGTGGCTATTCTTTAAATATTTCAAGGTTTATGTCATTTGCCACCTCTTGAACTTTATATTGTATTAAGTAAATTTTGTTGAAAATTCTCGTTGCACACATTTTTGTTGAAAATTTGTGTTGCACAAAGATTGCATAGCATTATTTAAAATGATCTAACCAATATATATTTTTGGAGGTAATTCTATGTTTATGTCAAGATGGATATCAAAGAGCGTAATACTTTTTTTAAAAGATCATCTTGTAAAAGACACTATATATATATCATTTGTAAGATCTAAAATGTTTTTTAAAAAATGAAGAAACATGTCATGCCCATGTGAAACTTCATTTCAAAGTATGGTATTGTTAACTGTTTTGGAAGCATGCACGTTTATAGAACAGCGGCTATAAATGAACAGTGAAATAAAACTTTCAGTCAGATTATCTTACCTGAGCTGTTATATCATGTTAGGTCATGCCTAGGTAAAGATCNCTTTACCCAGCCGATCGCGTGTTTGTTTATGTTTTTGACCGCTAGACGTCCCTCAGTAGTGTTCCACGACAAGCTAATGTTTAACTGTTGCTTTGAAGTTGTATTGAAGTTAAACTTATCAATAAAGTTCAAAAACAAACTTTGTTTGTGTTTTGGCTGACTTTTATCGTTGATAAACGATCGTTCTCGGCCGAAAGAGGCCATGAAACGTCATGTCTTGTGAAACTTTTGCAATTTTACACCTCCTTTTCTTGAAGAGTTTCTCGTGCGCGTCGACTACGGTAAGCACGCCAAGCTAAGACGTTAGATTCTTTGTGAAACACTCCAAGTCGACTTCAGCTAAGTCGACCTAGCTAGGCCACCCAGCTCGAGTAAGACGTCTACGGATTTAAGATTCTTTGTGAAACGGGGGCCAGGTTGTGTTCTTCTCTATGGATTATAACCTAAACCTTTCAAAATTAACCTGGAAGAGGTTGGCAAAAAAGATTCTCAGATTATCAAACATGCATATCCTGAAAAGAAATACAGCTTTAAACTGGATCTAGTGGTGAGGTGTTTGTAATAAGTGTGTGCATGAGAAGGGACACATTATGAAAGCGATAACCAGTTGTTTAACACCTTCCTGATATGATTTTGTCAAGTTGCATTCTTCTTCCTGTACAGTAACATGCATGTGTGTGTGTGTGTGCTTTGTAAAGTTGTTTTGGCTAGCAGGGGAGGATGGGGGGGGGGGCAAACAGGTCAGACTTACCTTATAATCATCAAACTTTCATTTAAGGACTCTCTCTCAATTAAATTCTTCATATGCCCTCTTCTTATATTTTAAGATTTGATGTTTGAGTTGGCTGAAACTAATACCATAAAGGCAACAAGAGGATTTGAACTCAGTCTAAAACTCTTCCTTGTGTGTGTAAGTGATATATATTTTTTTCATGTAGCCCATTTTTATCTAAGGAAATGTTGCATTACCAAACTGGTTTTTGAACAGTTTAGGGAAACAGGTCAAATGTATTTTAAAGAAACCATTCATACTGAGTTCAAAATAGATGTTACTAATAACAGACGCTTTTGAGGATATTTAACCATATTAGAATTTAGGGGGAGGGGGGGGGGGCTTATGCATTGGTCTTGCCAAAATAACATACTTTACAACTCCTTTATGTTTATTTATTCATCTGGCATCTTGAATAAATCAAGTTAGACTTTTCTGTGAATGGAGAAGTGGGTGATTGATGTATCGGATATAAAGAGACAAGTTATTGGGAGTAC